ATCCTTTTAAAATCAAGTCTGGGTTTACAACTATGCTTTTAAAATTTTTTACCTAAACACCCAATTTTCTCAAAATGTATTTGATTTTCAAAACTCCATTTGGGATGAGTTGAAACTTGTTTCATTTGGAAATTTAATTGTGACTATTATTGATTTGTCACTTTGAACAGTAAAATTATCTATCCAAAATTGATTTTGAAATTTTTTATCCAAACATCCTCAATTTAACAAAATCACGTTTTTAAAATTTATCCAAATATTATCACATTTTAATAATTATTTTTTTTTTAATTAAAATCCAAACATACCCTAAGGTGGTGGAAGAACTGCGGTGGGTGGGGTAAGGGAGAGAACCTCCCCACAAAAGGGAGACAAGCTCTCCGGAATTCCACCAATTTTGATCAAGTGACTGGATGAATGGTTCAGTTAGACATGTCTCCTTCCCACTTCTTTATAAAAAATAAATGAGTGTTTTTTCGAAATATATCGAACAACTACATGTTATTTCTTATATTTATTAAAAAAAATTATTTCTTACCCCATTAAATTAACATCATCAAATATAATCGCCATTTTAAACAATTAAAAAGGGCATTCTGAAAAAAAAAAACTAAATTTTAAACATGTTTATTTATCTAAACTGTATTTCTTGATTAATGTGAAAAAAGTTAATTATTTCCGAGGTTTGGATATAATTAGTTATAAACTTGCAATCATAAATCCAATTCACTATTATTGTCATTTACTATTGAAAAGACAAATGCGGCCGACTAGCATTTTCCTTTACAACGATATCATTTAGAGAAAAAAAAACTTTCAAGTTAAGAATCGCAAGGATTGTTGATTAGGTCAGGTCAAGTCGTATCTTCTTTTCATTCAATGTAAGCGATTATTTTCAAGTCAAAATATATAAAGAAATGCTGTTGTTAAAGTAGTTTGAATTAAATGAAAAGATTCATTTTTCTGGAACAAATTAAATTACTCCGTGTTTTATTATGATTTACCGAGGTGTGAATACTTTAAGAAAATGCAGAGTAAATTCTGGTCACAGAACACACATGCACGCACGCATTATTTTTTTTACTGTTACTTTATTATTTTATTAAATCCTATTTGATTTTTTGAGGAATCTGTTCACAGCGTAGGTGAGATATTTAAGTAGTACAAAATCTCAAAATAGGTTAGGAATATTTTTTTATTTTATTAAAATTTTATTTTAATTTTTATTTTAATTTTATTAAATATTATTGAGAAAAAGTATATTATTTAAGTATCTATATTTAATAAAAATAAAACAAAAATTTATTAAATTTTTAAAGAAAATAATGAATTTTAAGATTTTCTTACCATGATGAAAAATATTTGTAGTAACTTATAAGTATTTCATCTGTTAAGAAATATAAAGTATTTTTATGAGGTTAGATGCTAAAAAATATAATAACATGTTTGATTACCTATTTTCAAAATAGTTTTGTTCTAAAAAAATAAAATAAAAAAATATGGCGAAAATTGGCAAAAAGGACTTTGTTAGAAAAGAAAATTAGTTCTAATTCAAGGACTAAATGCAATATTTTATTCATTAAACAATATGTACAAATGACCAAAAGACTCCTCTCTTTAAACCAATGAAATTGAAGAAAAAAAAAAGCTGTTTGTTCAGCACATGCACCCTAAGCCATAAACCTTACACCCAAGCTAGAACCCTTGTACTTCAGTTAAAAGCCTTGCACCCCCAGCTAGGAGCCTTGCACCTCAAGCCAGAAGCCAGGTGCAAGACTTTTGGCTGGATGTGTAAAGCTTTTGGCTTGAGATGCAAGGCTTATAGGTTAGGTGTAAGGCTTCAAAGTTTGGATGTAAGTCTTTTGGCTTGGGTAAAATGCTTTTAGATTGGGGTGTAAGGCTTATAAGTTAGGTGCAAGGCTTTTAGTGGGAGTTGCAAGACTTCTAGTTGGGGTTGCAAGGCTTCTGGGTTGGGTGCAAGGTTTCTAACTTGAGGTGCAAGGATTCTGACTGGGGTGCAAAATTCCTGACTTGAGGTGTTGAGGTGCAAGGGTCCTGATTAGGGTGTAAGGTTTCTGCTGTAACATCCCAATTTAAATTTTAATAATTAATTTGGGTTAATAGAAATTTTGAAAAATATTTAGAGGTAAGCAAATTAGTAGGAGATGATTATTAAATCTAACTTAGGATATCATTCTAAATTAAAATAAAAAATTAATTAAAAAAATATATTATTAAATTATTATTATTATAATAAAAAAAGGGAAAAAGTATTAAAAAAAAGAAAGAAGAAGAAGAAAGTTGGCTTCCTCTTTCGGCGCATGATTACCATATAATAATAAAAAAAAAGAAAGAAAGAAGAGAGAGGAAAGAAGAAATAATAAAAAAAATGTGGGACTCACTGAATTTTTATAAAAAATCACCTATTTTCTTTGTTTCTTCATTATTCCCTGTGCACGAGCTGAGGTTGAGAAAGAGTCTAGTTTCGCCGATGCGGGAGATTTGAGTTTTTAAAGTAAAAGTTTTTAATAGGATATTTAGGGTGTGATTTTAAGCTTTTCAAGACTAAGTAAGTGTTCTAAAAAATTTTCTTAGTCATCCTTCCTCTTTGGTTTCTAATTTTATGGTGGCAGAAAATTTAGGATTTGGAAGAGGGATGAATTTATATTGAATAAATATGGTTTTTGAGATTGTTAGTAGTATAATAAATGTTTTAGAGTATAAATTTGTTGATGATCTTTGAATTTATGGCTTATGGATCAAATTCTAAACTAGATCTGAAAATATATGTTGATTTATTGAGATTTAGATGATTATTTAGGATGAGAAATGAATTATTATGGCTATAGAATTATGATTCTAAGCTAGAGATTTAATTTTTAATTTTTGAATATTTTAGGTGCAAATTTATGAAATAAAAAAAATTTTGATAATAGAAATTAGTTTAGAAGTTGATTTTTAGATTATTAATGTTTATTGATAATTAAAAAGGAGTTAAAAATTTTACTTAATAGTATTAACTCTAGATTTGTATTAAGATTGAGATTAGGAATTATGTTACATTTTTAATTCTATTATTAGAATTATTTTATTAGTTTTAAAAATTGAAAGTAATATTTATAAAGTGAAGATTGTGGTGGGAGAGAAATTGTAAGGAATAATTTATTGAAAAAGCCACAAGGTAACCATGCTTTTAATTTGTGATTAGTGTTACTTCATGTTAATTGGATGATTATTGAGAAAATTATGAATTTTGTAATATTGTATAATTGTGCAATATTATTATGAATTTGTTTGATTATTGTGGGAGGTGTTGGGAGACTTGCTATTGTTGTTGTATTTATGTGCCACATGGTACGCCCCTATTGGAGCTCAATAGGTGGTTTGTAAGGGTTCGGGCTAATCTACCTTTAGTCGAGTAATTTAGCACCGAGTGAGGGCTACGGCTCGAGGTTAATGGAGGGATATAAGGATGGTTGTTTGTGTGTATTGTAATATTTCTTATATTTGTTGAAATTATATTATTTTTAATTCTCACTTAGTAAGTACACACTTAACTGTTTGTATACACTATCATAAATTGGTATTGGTTACTGAAACTTTTGAGTCTTATTATGTGGTTAACAATTTTTAGGAGAAAAGCCACGAGTGACACGTGGAGGAGTCCCAGAGGCTTAGTGGCATAGATCCACTGTCTCTTTTGGTTATTTGATTTATGATTTATAATGTGTTATATTGTCAATATTAGAGCTTTTTGTTTATTGATAATTATATAAATATATAAATGTAATTATGCCTTTCAAACTATTTATATTTTTGATACACTTTGGATGACTGAAATTTTAATATTTGGTTTACTTTGGATTTGTTAAAATGGCATGATTATGAGGCCAAATAACTGGCTTATTTTGAAAATTGACTAAATTATTTATTTTACTTGTTGGGAGTATAAGGATGGACAAATGTGATTTAGTTTACTTGTTGGGAGTATAAGGATAGACAAATGTGATTTAGCCTAATGACATGTGGGAGGTAAAAATTTATCTGAAATGTTGTATTGTGTAAGTTTAAGCTAATTATAAAATATTTTTTATATTAAATTTATTGATATAAAATGTGTTGGGTGGCTGTAACCCAACTATGGTTGAGTTAAATTATAAAAAAAAAATTTGGTGTGTTACATCTGCCTTGAGGTGCAAGGGTTCTGATTAGGGTACAATGTTTTTGACTTGAAGTGCAAGTGGTGAATAGGTAGCCTTTGTTTATTTATTTTTTTTTCAATTTCATTAGTTTAAAGAGAGGGTTAATTTGGTTATTTACACATATTATTTAATGAATAAAATATTATATTTGATCCTTGGAACTAATTTCCTTTCTAATAAAGTTCTTTTTACCAATTCTTTTAAAAACCTATTTGAAAATGTGTTTTCTATTATTTATTTTGAAAACAAAAAAAAATGAAAAATTGCATTCTTTGAATTGTTTTGTTACTTTTTGTTATATAAAACTAGAAAAAAAGGTTAAAATGTTATGCTTTTATTTCTTTAAAAAAACTTATTCTAAAAAAATATTTTATAAAATTGTTTTAAAAACATAAAAATAAAATATAGAATCAAATAAGCTCTAAGGATTTTTAGATTTTTGTAATTAATTATTTTTTTTCAAAAATATCTTAATAAATAAATTAATAAATCATTCATGTTTAGTACTATAACCAATGAAAGTTGATTAAATCACTAACTTTATCTAAAAAATAGAATAAACTTGTAATTTTACTTCTATTCAAAAAAATTATCAAATTTACATTGCATTTCCTCCTATGATTAGTAAATTTAAATAAAAATATTTAAAAAATATAATCAATACTTTACCAAACATCTTATCTAGAAAATATAATTAGGGACATGACATGATCACATGACGTTCGCTTTGAGAAAATTTTTCGCGCAGGAAAAACGGTCAACCGAACATGACAAATTAACTGTCTGTCAACTCCAATCGGCAAACGTACAGCAAAAATGCAGAAATCAAACCAGCTTCAGTGGGAAAAAAAAAAGTCTGCTTCACTGTCACTGATTGGCCTCTCCTACATTTCACTTTCCTAGAAAATTTTCATCTTTTTCCAGACAAACAACGAATGAATGTGCGGAGTGGAACACTGCAATTTTCGTTGGGGCCTCACCAAACCGCGTCTGTTGAAAACTGGAATGTTGGACTCTCTCTTTGGTAGTGCGTCTTTCCTGGAATTTTCCTAGAAAAACCTTGACTCTTCTCATCCAATACGTCTCTCTTACTTTCAGTCTTCTAATCTGCTTCTCGCTTTACACGTCACTAAATTGCTGCTTCTGAGACGGAGATTGAGGTAAGCTTGTTTAACAGAGACTTTGAATGGACAATAGCCTTCTATTATACGTCTTGGAATTGAAATTTTTCGATATTAGAGACGTGAAATTTACGGTTCTCTTTCATTGCTTTCCCTAATCTATAAGAACTTCAGAGAACCCAGAAAATAATCAACGTTGAGACTTAATTGTTCTCTCTTTCACTCTCTCTCTCTCTGGTTTTTTTTTTCCCTGAGATTGGAAGAGTTTCTGCTTAAACAAAATTGTTGTATTTAATTGCTCTAGTTCTCAGACTTCGCATTCCAATTTGAAGGTTGTTTTTATAATGTTTCTTCTTTGATCTTCCTAATTGTATGTAGTTTTTTCTTCCCCAGTTTTACTCCTGTACCTTGTATTTTCTGTTTTTTCCGTTTTCTTTTTTCCTGTTTTCTCATATACTTCAAAAGTGAGAATCTATATATATAAGTTAATATTATGTGAAAAGAGAAACAACTAAAGCAAATTGATGCTTGTGACTTACAGTTTATCATCTGTTGTTAGCGTTACTAAGAATTAAAGCTATTGTCATTGCTACTTGAATAATCTTTTCAAGCTGCTTGCTGCATTAAGTAACCTAAACATCAAAGCTAGTAGTCGAAGTCATAAAACTATGTATGTTACATGTGTTTAGCCTGATCTTTGTGGCATAAAGATTGGTCTTCTTTGTTTAACTGATGATGTTCCTTCACCCTACTCTCTGTTCAAAAAATTTCAAAAAGAAAAGAAAATGATGTATTCCATTTTTCCAAACAAAGGTTCAGTCCTTAACCTTTTCATCTTCCAGTAAAACAGTTTAGTGAGTTGCTGCATTATTTAAAAGAGGACTAATATGGAAATATTTTGTTGCAGCTAGAAAGAGATACACCTGGCAGATTTATAGTTTCAGCTTCCCATAAATTAATAGGGTCCGGTTTAGGCGGTTCAAGTAGAGAAGATTCAGAATAGACATTTAACAATGGTAGGATTGGAACTCATACCAGTAGGCACAATTCTGGCTGTGCTTACCAATCAGATTTTGAAAACAGCTAACGCAGCATCTGAAGTTCTTATTGAAAAAGAAATTTTTAAGGTTCTTTCACAACACTTGTACGATATTGAACCGGTGCTAAAGGAATTACAGCTTCAAGAATTGAATGAGTCTCAAGCTGCAAGAATTGCTCTGGAGTCTCTGGAAGAAGATGTGAAGAGGGCAAATAAAGTGGTTGAGAAGTACAGGAACCGGGGTCGTTTTTACTTGCTGTTTAAGTGCAGGCACATAGTTGATGAAGTTGAAGAGGTCACAAGAAGCATTGGAAAGTCCTTGTCTGTGCTATCACTTGCAAATACTGAAGTCTTATCGCGAATTTCTGATCAGGTTGATAGATTGCAAAATGAAATGCAAAGGGTAGAGTTCGAGGCATCACAATCTCAGATTCAAATAGTGGAGAGGTTGGACCAGGGCCTTAGGGAGCAGAAACAAGACCAGGCTTTTGCAAATGACATGCTTGAAGAAATTGCAAGGGCGGTTGGCGTGCCAGTCGAGCCCTCAGAGATAAGCAAAGAGTTGGCCAGCATTAGGAAAGAAAAAGAAGAAGCTGCGGACAGGAAAGAAAGAGCTGAGGTCTTCTTCTTGGAGCAGGTCATTGAGTTACTGTCCCGAGCTGATGCTGCAAGAGATTATGAAGAAGTTAAGAAACAATACTATGAAAGACTTCAGGTGATAGAGAGGTACAATTCAAGGGAAAAATATATAGAGCCGCTTAATTCTTTCCTTTGTTGTATAACTGGGACTGTTATGGTAGATCCAGTAAGCCTTTGTACGGGTACCACTTGTGAGAGATATGCCATTGAGTCTTGGTTTGACAGTGGCATGAGGACTGACCCAGAAACTAAAGAAATCCTTGAAGATACTAAGTTGAGATCTAATGTTCCTCTTAGACAATCCATAGAGGAATGGAGAGAACTTAATTACTGCCTTACAATTAGGTCCATCAGAGAAAACCTTTTATCAAGTGGTAACTTATCTGTGGAAGAATCCTTGAACCAAGTGCAGGATCTCATAAGAGAGAATTCTATAAACAAGGACTGGATTTCTATAGGAGGGCTCACAGACATGATCATCTCCATCCTTGGGAGCACTGATAATGGAGATGTAAAGATCAATATTTTGAATACTTTGAATTATGCAGTAGAAGGGCATATGAGAAACAAGGTAAGCAAACTTGATATTCATTTGAACTAGGAATATCGTTACACAGTTATTTGGCTTGGTTTAATTAACCACTTTGCCTTGAGAATTTATAATTTATGATTTAAAAATTTGGTGCACTGTATGTTTGAATAATTTCTTCAACATTGTACTGATTATCTACGCATCTCACATCATGGATCATTGCATTCACACTACCATTTTTTAGATGAAGGTACTTTCATTCATATGGCTAGTGAGACACTTTTACCTTTGGGATATATCTGCTCCTGAGTTCTTTATTGCTGTTCCTATAATGATTGTCAGAGTTCTAAAATTTTCATCCGCGTACAATCATATAGGAAAAAGTATCAGAGTCTCAAGGATGGGATCACATTATTTGCTGTTTGGGAAGCGACTCAAGAATTTCAAAAGCTGCCATTGATTTGCTGCATGAGTTAATGGAAGGTCGAGCTGGTTGGAATGTGTCTTTCTGTAGAAAACTCTCTCAGCATCACAGTGCAATTTCATTCCTTGTTAACCTTCGGAAGGGTCCAGACGAGGAGTCAGCTGAGATTGCAGAAAAGATTCTGATGGAGCTTTTCGACATAGATGAGGCCAACATTTCTAGTGCTGCCAAGTTTGGCTGGTATAAACCGCTTGTTGATCGTATGGTTCAAGGTAAGAGATTGTTTGGTACATATAAACCAAGGAAAACCCATTGAAGTGGGTATTGTAGGTGGTGGGCTTCATTGACTTCTCCACTTTGATGAATTTTTGTAGACTCTCTCACCTGACTATGCAAGATGTGTAATGAAGGATTTCTTCAGAAAATTTTAATATCATTTATCATTTAATCTTACCTCTAGGATTTTCTTTGGCCACGGAAAAAGAATACTAACTAAATCTAAAATTAAAGGATTGACCTGTATTTTTGAACTCGAGTCATGATTCTTCTTCGCAAGCTCAGAGTCCAATTTGGACAGTATTTGTCATCTCTTTTGATTATTTTTCCATTTGTTGTTTTACTCAGCTCCTTAAAGTATCTGTGCTAGTTGATTGATTCAAGTTATTTCCCTGTCTGTCTTCTCAGGCGTAGAATCTTCAAGAATATCAATGGCTAAAACCATTGTCAATATGGAGCTGAGCAATTTAAATTTGAACCTCCTTGGTGAAGGAGTTATACCTCCTTTGCTCGAAATGCTGTCTGGCAATATTGAATTAAAAGAAGTCTCATTATCTGCACTGGTTAAACTATCAGGTTCTCGTGCCAATAAAAGTATTATAGCTTCACTGGGAGGAGTTCCTATTATTCTAGAACAGATGTTCTCTCCTTCTATGCGAACTCTCATTACCATAAAATGCTCTGAAATCCTGGAGAAGCTTTCTGCTGATGATGATGGAATTGATTACTTTGTTGATAAAGAAGGGAAACAACTTGAGCTAGATTCCATTATCACCAAATTACTTGCCCTTCAGCAGAGTCCCAACTTAGCCCACAATATCCGCAAGCCTTCTTTACGTGCACTTCTTGGAATTTGCAAGTTTGAGACTGGTTTAGTCAAGAAAGCTGTCCTAGCTGCCAGTGGTGTGTCTCTAATCCTTCCCCTTCTTGATGACTCTGATTCAGAAATCAGACAGACTGCCATAAACCTTCTCTTTCTTTTCTCTCAACATGAGCCAGAAGGAGTGGTTGAATACCTCTTCAGGCCAAGGAGGCTGGAGGCTTTGGTGGGATTTCTAGAGACTGATGATAATGAAGTACAGATGGCTGCTGCTGGTTTACTAGCAAACCTACCGAAATCCGAAAAAGAGCTCACTATGAAGCTGATTGAATTGGGTGGCCTTGATGCAATCATATGCATTTTGAAAACTGGAATAATGGAAGCAAAAGAAAATGCTCTCAGTGCACTCTTCAGGTTCACAGATCCTACAAACATCGAGTCACAACGCGATTTGGTTAAACGTGGAATATATCCTCTGCTTGTGAATTTTCTCTCCACTGGTTCAATAACAGCTAAGGCTAGAGCTGCAGCCTTCATTGGAGATCTTTCTTTGAGCACTCCAATGCTCACAGTTTCTGCCGAATCAACAGGCTGCTGGTGTTTTAGATCATCAAGAGTTCCTTTGTGCCCAGCACATAGTAGTGTATGCAGTGTGAGCAACACATTTTGTCTCTTGGAAGCAAAAGCTTTACCTGGTTTGGTGAATCTCTTATGTGGGGAGGTTGATGTAACTGCTTATGAAGCAATACAGACACTTTCAACATTGGTTTTAGAAGATTATCCTCAAAGGGGAGCACGTGTTTTGCACGAATGGAACGCTATAAAACCGCTTCTAGATATTCTGACATGGGGGTCTGATTCTCTGAAGGCTGAGGCTCTAGGACTCTTAGAGAAGGTCTTTGTATCAAAGGAAATGGTGGAATCCTACGGCGTAACAGCTAGATCACGTCTGGTTGGTTTGACGGGGATGAATATTTATGGAGATGGCCATCTCAGAAGAAAAGCTGCTAAGGTATTGTCATTGATTGAACGGTATTCAAGGTCATCATCTGCTGCTGTTTCAGGAGTTCTAGAGTGACATGCTTTGTTAGTATTTTCATGCTTTGTTAATTCATTAAGTAATTGTTAATAAACGTAGTTATATGCTGCTTGTTCAGCTTCATGTCAAAAGACATAACAACTCAACCGTGTAAGTTCCCCTTGTAATTTAAATATATTCTTTGAATTACTGTGATAAGCTTAGATGTTTTCAGAGTAAAGGATCATCAACAAGGTGTTCTAATGAGATGTAGATTCTTATATAAGACTTTATCATTCGATAATACTAGAGCAAGTTATCATGAGAGAAAAGATTCAGAATCTGGAGAAATTCAATTTAGAGCTATGACATGTATAAGATCCAATATTAAAATCATTACAGGGATTTTCCATGACTAATTATGAGTTCTTTTCCCTGTCCCCCCCCCTTCTTTTTAACCGACAATGATTATGAGTTTAATACGTCCTGGTTATCTAAAAGATGGAGAAATTTCTCTCTCGACATTGTTAGAACATCAATGTATTACTCATTTTACCTGTAAAGATCTCTTTCACCTATGAAAAATACTTTTCTTAGAAAAATATTTACTTTCTTTGATTGGATTTCTTTGCAAACCATTTGCTAGAAATTCTAATTTTCTCTTATTAACATTATTCTCTAGCATTTCAAAACAGACATCAAAGACATATCGATATGATCACAAAATGTTGTGGCTTGTAGCTTCCCTTTATTAAGAATGCCCCCCGGAACCCAATAAGTGATGTTAGAGCCTGTTTCCGGTAAGAGAATCAATGTTTAGACAACAGAAAAGGCCTTGAAAGTCCACGTGGTATTGAGTTGAGCCATTGTAACATGCTGGCATATTCAAAGTGTAAGCAAATAGCATGTTGGTTAAAGGGGGGAAAAAAGATAATTTTTCATCCCTATGAAGGAATCAGAGGCGCCAACACATACATGATAATGATTCCAAATTCACGAGTCACGAGTAGGTGTGTACACAACTTCATGGGTTCTATGTACAATTTTCTCTGTTTCTATATAGATATGATCGAGTGTGATGCATAGCATCATTGATTCTTAGGTAATGTTTAACCTTACAGACATAGGAAATTTGCAAAAGTGACCAGTCAATAGGATTATCTTACTTTTTCCTTAAATGTGCTAGCTTGTGAGTTAGCAGGTTAACTCGTTAACGCACACATTTTCGCAATTTGGGCCAACCCAACCCAACATGTCAAAATTAGCAAGCCCAAACTTGTCAATGATGAACTTATACTCAAGAGGAATATTATTAAAATGTCAAGCATGAGTGGGCTTAGCTTTGCTTGATGTGAGGAAAAGTCTTACATCAGATAAAGTTAAGTTGAAAGGGTATATAAGTAGAAAAGATATATGAACTCAATGTTATAAAGTTTAGGGTTAAGATATAGGTATCATATTCTTTTATATGTATCCTCTTGAAATTATTGGAGCTAGTTGTATTCTCTCTCTCCCCTTTTCAGGATGTTCCCCAAGTCCAACAAACAGAAAGCATGCATGTTTCTCTCCACCAATACTCAACAATCCCACATACGATATGCACATTCATGCCTAAAGTATGCAACTTGAGTCATTAGATTTCGTGTTAGATTCCTTAATAGTTTCACCTCTCTAATGCTACATAAGCTCTATTTTATTACAATAAGCAGTCATTAGATTGGACCAATCTTGAAATTACATCCTTTTAGTAGGATAAGTGAGATTTCTGGATGAGCAAAATAGATTGAAGCATTGGGCACAAGCACAAAGTATTCATCATAACATGCATAAGCAAGTTTGACTGCTTCTATGATTGACAAAATTTATAGGTCCTTCTGGAACTAGGAGATTTGGTTCATTATAAATCATCCTGTATGATAACCAAAAAAATAACCTGATTGGTAAATTTTAAAACTAAAACGTTCATAAAGATTTAAAGATAAAATATGTGAAATTTTATTAGTTATTTTGTATTATCCACCCTATGTTGACCCTGAAAAAGTTCTCAATAAAGCTGTTTTTGAAGGCATTATTGTAATTTCATTTTAATTTTTAATTAATTGCACTATTATTTAAAAAAGAAAAAGAAGATTTTTGTTGGATTAGGTTGGATAAGGGTTCAAAAATGAACACACTCAAAAAGATGTAGAGAGGCCCAAAACAGGAGAGCTAAGAATAAAACTATAATGAATAATTGTTGTTTGGTAAACAAATAACACGCCACAAAATTATGATATAAAAATACGTAAAATTAAGATAAAATATAGCAGTCTAAAATAAAAAATAAAATGGAGTTAAATATGTTTTTAAAAAAAGACAACCAACAATCAATTGCAGTTACATGGAATGAAAGGGATAAAACTAAAGTATACATTTAATTTTTTAACCTGACACAACATTTTATTTTATTCTTTTAATTTCATAAAGTGTCTTTTTAGTCTTGTAACTATAACACTATTAATTTTATCTTAATAAATTTTTACATTGAACTTTTAAATATTAACAAAATATTTTAAATGTTGATATATTAAGTTTAATTTTTTTAAAATAACAATGACTAATATAAAAATAATCATTTAAAACTAACAACATTAGAGTTGAAGGATTAATTTTTTTTTCAAAATTAAACATTAAATTAAAATTTTATATAAATTTAAAGAATTAAACATATATTTAGCCAAGGGATAAAGTTAAGAGTTTGAAAGTTGTAGATTGAAAAACTTACATTGAGAGAGATGTTCCTAATTGAGCTTGATAAAGTAAGAATATGATTTGGTAGTATAAATATAAATAAATATATAAAAAAATGCAGCAATAATTTTCGCATAAACTTTGATGCGAAGAGATGATAAAAATTTATTAAAGATGAACGTGTCCGTTTTTGTATATTTTTTTTGGTGAAAATATTTTACAATAATCTAAAGATCTTCGATAATCTTTTTACATATACATTCACTTCAAAATAATTGTTTTTTCAAAGATTTAGAATTATAACGAAGTACTCTCTCTAATTTTTTATATGATGTTTCTAAGAAAGTTTTGGAGTTCTTATTTTAAAAAAATATTGAAAAATCTTAGCAATAATTAATACTTCCTCCATCTTAAATTATAAGATACTTTTAGATAAAATCTCACATATCAATAAAGTTCACTGAATACACTTTATAACTTTGCTTTTTCAAGATAAAAATATAAAATTTTAAAAATGCTCTTCATTTAATATCCTATTGATGAAAGAATATTGAAGAGAGAGAATATATGGGAAGAGTAATATTGAAAAAGTATTATTAATAAAATCTTATTTTTATCAAAGTATCTTATATTTTGAGACGCTGAATCTTTTTTAAAAGTGTCTTATAATTTAAGATGAAGGGAATATTATATTTCAAAAAATTCGTTGCTTTTAATTAATTAAGAAAGATAGAAAATTATTTAACGAAAAATATGTGTGAAGAATGAGATAATTTTAAAGACATCAACTATTTTTATTTGGGTAAAGTAGATAAAATTTTCTTATACTCCACCTATTTCGAATATAATACATTTTTTTAAAGATAAGACTTAAATACTTAGTTTTATGTAATTAATACAGTTTCATCTAATCAAATCAAGATATGTGAACTTTAATGTGTTAATTAATCATATTAATAAAAATAATTTGTTATAAAAATAAATAATCGATAAAAGATACACGTATCTTGATTTAATTGAAAACAAGCATTTTAAGTATATCTTGATTTAATATGAACTCCTATTATATGGGATTGTTATTACCAATAGCTAGCACTAGGCAAACGACTTGCGGGCTAACTTGTGGACTGGCCCGTGCGAGCTACCATTCTTGTGGGTTGGGTTGGGCCAGTTTGCAAAATAAAACAAATTGAAAAACCTAACCCAACTCATTTTCTAGTAGGCCAGCTAACTCGCAGGTTGGCCTGCAAAAAATTATCAAATTTTTTAATAATTTAAAATTTATATAATATAAATATATATATTTATTTCACATTTTAAGGAAAATTAGTAATTAAAAAACTTGTAAATAAATAAAATAAACATAGAATTTAACCAAGTAAATTCATTTTGTTAGATTTCTACTATTAATCACCTTCTCGCTTGGATGTGTTATCTTTCTCAATGAGAAAGAAAATTTAAATATAAACCTATATTATTTTTCTCAATGAATGTATATTTATGATTTCAATCAATAAATCTTATGAAATTAATAAATAATATATAGTTAAAATATTTTTATAAAAACTAATAAATCATCGATTTACAAACTATAACAAAAATTTTATTTGTAAATTGTAAAAAGAATTTACACTATATTTTAAATGTAAAGAACATATTTGTGAGTCATAAATTATATATTTAAGAAATATTATCATTACTATAGATTTATAAAAAGATATAATGTGATTAAAAAATAAAAAATATTGTTTTAAAAAAATATACTAGCACGCGGGCCAGCCTGTTTAGCCCGCGGGCTATTCTGTTTTAGCCCATTAGTTTTGCAGATTCGGCTAGCCTAGCCTGTTTTAAAAAACAACCTAATTTGTTCAACCCAAACTGTCAAATTTTGCGGGTTGAATGGGTTAGCCTACGGGCTCAACTCATTTTTCCGACTCTACCAACGGCAACCTCACGAGTACCTCAAAAAAGTTTTCAGCATGTTTATTTAACACAATTGCATGTCACAATATTAGAATTTGAGACTCTGAGATAAATTGATTCAACTCCTACAGTTAGTTAAATCAAGCTAATCTAGGTAACTTTGTTCTTTTTATGAGTATCCAATAGGTAAAAGGAATAATGAATTTCAATTATTTTTTTTAAAGGAATAGACAGGAAAACAAGGAGGAGAAAGTAAAAGTGGAAGATTATGAATTATTTTTAATGATCCTAAACTTCAAAATAAAGTAGTTTATTATAAATTATAAATTAAAAGGAACAATTCAAGACACGCATAATATCCTAAAATTTAATGATTCTCACCAAAAAAGAGCTACCAATAGCATGCATGGAATTATACAATCGCTCCAATGTATCAAAGAAGTCAAATCAAAAGCAAACTGGTAAAACAAAAAATAAAAGCAAAAGAGTGATAAGGCATGCTTTTGATTTGTCAAAGGAAAGGTATGGGAATTAGATAGTCCAACTCACATTTTCTT